GTTTGAGAACAGCTTGGGGAAGGGCGGAGGCCAGAAAGCTGAGGAAGCCAGCTCTGGCTGCCCACACTGGCCTGGCACCTGCAAGGTGGCAGGAGTGAGCAGGCCCAGCCCATTCCATGCTGAGAGTGAGGGAAAGGGGTGGGAACAAGGGGCGAACCCGTCCTGTCCCAAGGAGCGTGGTCAGGAGATGGCCCCCTCATTGGCTTCGGCTTTTTCATTAAAGAGCAGGCCTTGTTTTCTTCCTTCCCCTCTTAGTTCAAGCATACCTGGAAAATTCCCTTTTGTTGTTCCTAGCATCCCTTGCCAGCCTCAGCTCAGTTTTGAGCTTTAGCTTTCTTGACAGGAAGGACTGCAGGTTGGGTCTGCTCATCTTTGTCGACCTGGCCCTCTCTCAGTTTCCTAAAGATTATCTGGCAGTAACGCACTGGATGCCTAAAACCTGCCTGTTCGTGCAGTTGCTTATACCTTGGGGCTATTTCGTTATTCTTGGGGCAAGTATGAGTTGTCCAAAGGAAGGTAGCTTTAGGAATAAATTAGGGAGGTAACTGTCTGTGGATGGGGGCGTACGAGCACTAGTCTTCAAAGTGAAAGGAAGTACAGCCCAGTACTTCTGTTACTCCAGCAGGTGCTGCAGTGCCATTCCTTCTCAGCAGGAAACATAACATGATAACGAGTGCCACAGAGGAAGCCCGTGTTGCAAAAGGTACAGAATGGGAAAGAGCGGTGCTGCCTCAGTTCCCCGTGCTACCAGAGTAATGTGCATACTAGGCCAAAGTGCCGCAAGACTATGCATGGGATAGAGCAAGTAGAGAAAGAAGTACTTTTCTCCCTTTCTCACATTACAAAAACCCATGGGCACTCAATGAAATGTTTGAGCAGTTGGGTTAGAACAGATAAAAGGAAGTACTTCACCCAAAGAGTGATTAGCACATGTAGTTCACTGCCACAGGCAGTGGCGGCGGCTACAAGCATGGACGGCTTCAAAAGGGAATTCGATAAGCATATGGAGCAGAGGTCCATCAGTGGCTATTAGCCACAAGGTATAGATAGCAACTCTGGGGCAAGTGGTGCTCTGTATTCTTGGTGCTTGGGGGAGGCAACGGTGGGAGGGCTTCTAGTGTCCTGGCCCCACTGCTGGACCTCCTGATGGCACCTGGTATTTCTGGCCACTGTGTGATACAGAGTGTTGGACTGGATGGGCCATTGGCCTGATCCAACATTGGCTTCTCTTATGTTCTTATGTCCTTAAGTTATACTTATAGACGCCTCCTAGCCAAACTGATGAATTGCAGGTTCTGGATATATTTTTATCACGGTCCTTTTGGGGATGGAATTTGCCTCGGTTGGTCCTGCACAGCACGTTTCCCCCAGGAATCTAAAATGAGTGCTGATGTTCCTTTGCACCAGTAGTTGTAAAAGGTGCACTTAAGATTAATGTTTCATGCTCACAGAAGTTGGGCTGTAAGTCAGCGTAATTACTCTGTCCTGCTCTTGAAAGGTGATTTTCTAAACTGCAGCAGACTTAGAAATAGAGAATGCTTACACAAAACAGTGTTCTAGCGAACCCACGGAGACCATGTTCTGCTGCTTTGGAAGACTTTGTACCTTTCTTAAAAACTTGGAAATTGGCTTCCCATTCTTGCAAACTGCAAAGCACCACTATGGCATTCAGACTTAACTCCCCAAAACCTATTTGCGTGGGAAAGCTTATGGTATAAAATCACTGGAATTCAGCACTTGATTCAATAGTACAGGGGGAATTTGCCCATCAGCTTTGTGTCAGGTTGCCCAGGTGGGTGCTACAGTCATGGGAGGCCTCCTCTGAAGAAATGCTGCTTTGGAAAAGGCATCTGAGAGGTCGCTGTTGATACCTCAAGCTGAAATGTTACAGCAGGACAATACTGTATTGCTGGTTCTTACCAGAAACCACATGACTCAGAACCACTTAAGCAAAAGAGGACAGTCACTTCGATGGCTTTGAGGCTTTTACAGAAATTCCTCCAGAACACACACCTGGAGGTCAAGAGAAGACATTGCAAAGTCTTCACCAATAATGATGGCAAAAAAAAAAAAAAGGCGGCAGGATCAGCCAGTAGGTCCCAATACAGGCGCAGAAGCAAGTAGACAGGGAGATCACAGCCACTGAGGAAGGAAAACCCTGAGAAGCAAAAACTCAGCTAAACCCCATTGCACCGAACACATCACGAATAACAGGTTGTTTCTGAGGCCTCAACTGAGAACCTTATTATGGGGGAATGGGGTTATCCTAGTGAGCTCTCAAGACTGCGCTTACATCCCAGAGCCACCTCTAAGCAAAGAGGGCAACAGGGGTGTGTGAATCAATCCCTGTGACTGGCAAGCATTCTGATAGGCTGAGGCACGGGTGATGGCAAAGAGGCTGGCCTCCTGCCCTTGCCTAGGCCACAGAGAACTTCAGCCTGCTACACTCCAGGCCCTGCCACTGCCCCCTGAATAGAAGGCCGTACCACCAGGCTCTGACCTCACCACAATGGCGAGGAGATTAGTCATAACAATCTCCCTGTGCTTATGTGGGGCTAAGCAGAGGGCTGCTGTTTTGTGTAATGATTTCAGGTAAATGGTTGTGTTCCTTTAAATGTGTTGTTGAATTTTGCAGCGTTAGAGAGTTTATACAGTTAAGAGTGTAAGAATGTTTTGTTGAATATAGCTGATTAATAGGAGAATTTGGCAGTAGTTTGAATTTAGTTGACTGACTGCTGAAGACTTCAGTTACAGGAGATTACTGTTGGCTGTAGGAGGGAATGTTATGCCTACAGTTCATGACGTCATGACGTAAGTGATCAGGCCTTCCATCTTTAGAGGGTGGTGGCCCTGCTCCCAGCTCTTTGCCCCGCCCCTTTCCCCTTCCTCCAGATTTGGCTTTGGCTTAATAACAGATAACCCACACTGGGAAATAGAAATAGTCCCAGTCTGGTTTCTGCTGCAGCCACCTAGGAACCCAGTGTAGTCCTGGCCGTCATCTATTGTCAAGCCTCGCTCTGCTTTGCTTCGCTCAGCTTACCATAGATATGGGGTAGGGGAATTCCTTAGGTGGGGGAGCAAGTGTGGGGTGTGTGAATGCTCTACCTTAGAAAGCGTAGCTCTTCTGAAGACGAACCTTTCTCTGGTTCACAGAGAAACGACCTTGAAGCTTCTAGTGCCAGCTTGTGTAGCAGATAATGGGATTGTATATTTCCCATGAGAAGGGGGGTAGAGATGCCGGGGCCAGGCTGTGTGTGGGGACGTATGAATGGGCCATAGGAGGGGTTACGTTTGAACTCTCAGGGCCGGCCCCAGCTTATTTTGCACCCTAGGCGGGGATCCCTTCTGGAGCCCCCCTTCCCGTGCGCCCACCAATTTTCAAAAATAAATGCATTTTAGGAAGAATGAAAAACACAAATAAGAAACTCCCAGAGTACGGGGCCGGGTGCAATTTGGTGCCTCTAAGGGCTGGCCCGCTCTAGGCAATCGCCTAGTTCGCCAAAGTGAGTGAGCCGGCCCTGTCTCTATATCTATGTATGCACCCGCCAAAATCTGTAGAACGGACACGGTACCATCAAGGCCTGGAACTTGTTTATATCTCAATAAAGCCTTTCACTGCCAAAGACAGTGTGGTTGAAAGTAATTCGCCCAGGAGTCTGACACCTATCACATATACAGCTCCAAAGTGGAGAGCGGCACACATGGCTTCCATGGTTACTTGACTTTGAAAAGAATAAGTAATGAAGGCGCTTTCTGGCCCCATCCCCCCCCCATAAAATGGGATAGTGAAGAGAAGAGCCCCAGTCTCTCTTAGCAGTTGTCAGCTTCTGTAGCAGTGGATCTGGCACTGATTCTGTGGTTTATGTAACGGTGCCATGCAAATCCAGGATTTGCTTTCTGACACAGGGCTCTGCATCTTGAGAACTTTTCCTCAAGTAGGTTTCTTATCTCTGTGGCCACAAAGGGGGCCTTGAAAATGTGTCAGCTGTGCATGGTGAAATTTTGGGAGCCGGATTCCCAGCAGCCAATGTGTGCGGCTGCAGTGTGCTGTGTCCCTCCCCTATTTTGGATCCCACTGCCTTTTCCAGAGATTGGAGAGACCGTCTTACCCAATTTCCTCATTGGAGCCTGTGTCCAACATGACTTTTTGCCTTTGTGGGTCTTGTGATCCCCGGAAGAGTGGAAAAGCTGGTAGGATCCAACACCTTTCCTGTCCTAAGGGCTAGCACAAGGCACAATAGATAGTATGAAGCCTATATATGCAGATATGTTTAATTTTCAAAAGTCAGATAATAAATGTCTGAATAATAATTATAAATTCATCATATACTGCCTCCAGGATGTGGGCACCCAAGCTTTCCTATGGACTCAAGTTTGCTTGCCGGCACACATTTTAAGAAATACTGTATTTTTCGTCTCTCTGGAAGAGACGGTAATCCGTCACTGTTGAGGTATTTTGAGACAAGGACACAGTACCCAAGAAAGTCACATGAAGGTTCCTTGCTGTGTACTTTCTAGACTATCGGTTGCATGTTTTCCTTCCATGGATATTCAGTAGCATCCCTCTAAAGCAAATGTGGTTCTCCTGTTGGAGGAGAGGGCTCCCGCTCATTCACATCACTATGTGGGATAGTTCTGTGTATGCTTACCTTCAAGCAAATGGGTGAATCTCCCTGTCTCATGGGAACATGGTGCTGGCATTAATTTTATTTGTACCCCCATTCTTCTGCCAAGGAGTTTGGAGTGGCACCAAACCTGCTTAGTTTCACTGTGCAGGACTGCATTGCACATATTCTGGCTGTTTATTGGGCCATCTGCGATTACTGGAATTGCTCTGTCAAGGCTAGTGCTGGCATCTAGGGAAGTGTATGAGAGAGAGAGAGAGTGTGTCCATCCCTGTAAACCAGCTGCTTCAGTGAAAGAAATTAGCGGGTAACCATTTATAGCAGGACTGACTGTACTTTGCGTAACCACATTTCCTAATTCTTTCTGTGTTTAAGGATGAATTAAAAGAAGCAGAGGAAGTATATCAGGCTGGAATAGAGAACTGCCCAGAGAGCTCGGATCTGCATAATAACTATGGGGTTTTCTTAGTGGATACCGGTAAGTCAAAAGGAGAACGGGGTTTGTATGCCATATCTGGGTTATTGGATCTCAGTTCTGGAAGAGGACTGTTGCAGTGCAGTCCTCAGCACAGCTATACCCTTCTAAGTCCATTGGAGTCAATGAGCTTAGAAGGGTGTAACTCTGCTTAGGACTGCACAGTTAGCTGGCTCTGTTTGTTTGTGAAAACCATCCGCGGACCCCTGGGGCTTCTGGGAGCCTTTTCACTGTGGTCAAGTAAAACCATGGCCGAACTAGGATTAAGTGTTCACGGCTGTTGCAGAGGGCCTCCCATTTTGCACGGCGACATTCGTGAATATATTTGCAGTCATCTGGTGCTGTCCCTCCCTTCCACTCTACTGCTACTTCTGCGATACATTTCTCCCCCTCCCCCCTTCTTTTTCGTCTTGCCTTCGTGGAATTGGCTCGGTGGTTGGTTAGGGTACCCACCTGATTTTGCCGATGAAGCCACAATATAGTGTGATGCTGTCATGTGTGTCTTTAAGGAGAACCACATGCAATACCACACCTGCCTGGATTAAACAGCAGGTGCGCCTGCAGGCAGTGAGGGAAGAGAAGAACAGCCCAGGTGTTCCACCTTCACTTTCTTACCTGTTAGCCGTTCAAGGCGGAGAATTTTATTTGGCATTTAATTCGGCTGTGCAGGAAACACCAGCCTTGTGCAGGACTGCATTGCACATATTCTGGCTATTTATTGTGCCATCTGTGATTACTGGAATTGCTCTGTCAAGGCTAGCACTGGCTTCTAGGGAAGTGTGTGTGTGTGTGTGTGTGTGTGTGTGTGAGAGAGAGAGAGAGAGAGAGTGAATCCCCGCTGCTTCAGTGAAAGAAATTAGCGGGTAACCATTTATAGCAGGACTGACTGTACTTTGCGTAACCACATTTACTAATTCTTTCTGTGTTTAAGGATGAATTAAAAGAAGCAGAGGAAGTATATCAGGCTGGAATAGAGAACTGCCCAGAGAGCTCGGATCTGCATAATAACTATGGGGTTTTCTTAGTGGATACCGGTAAGTCAAAAGGAGAACGGGGTTTGTATGCCATATCTGGGTTATTGGATCTCAGTTCTGGAAGAGGACTGTTGCAGTGCAGTCCTCAGCACAGCTATACCCTTCTAAGTCCATTGGAGTCAATGAGCTTAGAAGGGTGTAACTCTGCTTAGGACTGCACAGTTAGCTGGCTCTGTTTGTTTGTGAAAACCATCCGAGGACCCCATGGCCGAACTAGGATTAAGTGTTCACGGCTGTTGCAGAGGGCCTCCCATTTTGCACGGCGACATTCGTGAATATATTTGCAGTCATCTGGTGCTGTCCCTCCCTTCCACTCTACTGCTACTTCTGCGATACATTTCTCCCCCTCCCTCCTTCTTTTTCGTCTTGCCTTCGTGGAATTAGCTCGGTGGTTGGTTAGGGTACCCACCTGATTTTGCCGATGAAGCCACAATATAGTGTGATGCTGTCATGTGTGTCTTTAAGGAGAACCACATGCAAAACCACACCTGCCCGGATTAAACAGCAGGTGTGCCTGCAGGCAGTGAGGGAAGAGAAGAACAGCACAGGTGTCCCACCTTCACTTTCTTACCTGTCAGCCGTTCAAGGCGGAGAATTTTATTTGCCATTTAGTTCGGCTGTGCAGGAAACGCCAGCTTCGAAAATTAATATTGAAATTAGAGAGCCCTAAAACACCTTTGAGTTAACTAAATGAATAAATCCCGACTCCACTCCTAGATTGACTGGTCACACCGCGTGCGTTTGCGAGGATTTGCAATTAGCGGCGATATCCAGCCAGCACCTGTTTGCCTTTTTTTAATCCCCGCAAAGCTCTGCCTCCCTTTCTCTCGGGGCCTCGTGGCGGCTGCGTGCCGTATCCTGACGGTAATGCGGTATGACCGCTCAAAGCGACAAAACGCTCCAGCCACTTTCTCTCGCTTTCCCACAGCTGCTCGGTGGCAGAGCGGCTCTTCAGCTTGGAGAGGGAAGAACGCAGCTGCTGGGAAAGAAATAAAAGCCTTGCAAATAGGCACGTTTTTGGCCAAACGTGGAAGTTGTGTGTGTGGAGTGGAAGGACGTTTTCCTCAGCAGTGCTGGTGAGCACTTCACTCCTAAGCTACTGACTCAGTTCCCACTTCTGTGCCTTCTGTTCCCTGCCTGGCATACGCATAGTGGAAATTGTCACTGGAAATGGCACGTTTTAATTGGCTGAATTTGAATAGTTGGCCAACAAAGCGAGCCACCCTTTTGCTTCCCGAGAGGGGCCCCCCTCCCCAAACCAGCGTGAAACACTTGGCTGAGCATTTGTCAGTGAGGCTTATGCCTGAGCCTTCAGCTACGGTGCTCAGCATATCTCAGGAGTTAAAATTGGGACAAAGGACATGGAATGCTTTGGGGAGAGTCTTTTAAAGGCCAGGCTGTGGCAGAAAAATTAATTTTGGATAGAAGCATAGAGTTGGAAGGGACCCCCAGGGTCATCTAGTCCAACCCCCTGCACAAGGCTGGAAATTCACAAATACCTCCTCCTCTACACCCACAGTGACTGCTGTCCCATGCCCAGAAGATGACAAAAAAAACCTCCAGGATCCCTGGCCAAACCGGCCTGGAGAAAAAAAATGTTTCCTGACCCCAAAGTGGCAATCAGCTTTTCCCTGGGCGTGTAAGAAAGGGCCACAAGAACTAATAAGAACATAAGAGACGCCAATGTTGGATCAGGCCAAAGGCCCATCCAGTCCAACACTCTGTGTCACACTGTGGCCAGAAATACCAGTGCCATCAGGAGGTCCACCAGTGGGGCCAGGACATTAGAAGCCTAAGCACTGAGGCAACCCTTCCTGCCCTCCCTCTCATGATCTGTCTAAGTTCACAGAATCTGCATGGCTGTCAGATGGCCATCTAGCCTCTGTTTGAAAACCTCCAAAGAAGGAGAACCCACCACCTCCTGAGGAAGCCTGTTCCACTTAGGAATTGCTCTGTCTGTCAGGAAGTTCTTCCTAATGTTTAGCCAAAAACTCTTCTGATTTAATCTCAACCCATTGGTTCTGGTCCAACTTTCTGGGGCAACAGAAAACAACTCCTCACATTCCTCTATATCACCTCTCAGTCGTTTCCTCTCCAGGCTAAACATACCCAGCTCCTTCAACCTTTCCTCATAGGACTTGGTCTCCAGACCCCTCACCATCTTTGTTGCCCTCCTCTGGACATGTTCCAGCTTGTCTATATCCTTCTTAAATTGTGGTGCCCAAAGCTGAACACAATTCTCTAGGTGAGGTCTAACCAGAGCAGAGTAAAGTGGTACCATCACTTCGCGTGATCTGAGCACTATACTTCTCTTGATGCAGCCCAAATTCACATTTGCCTTTTTAGGAACCACATCACACTGCTGACTCATATTCAGTGTATGGTCTACTAAGACCCCTAGATCCTTTTCACACATACTACTGCAGAGACAAGTCTCTCCCAACCTATAATTATGCATTTGATTTTTCCTACTTAAATGCAGAACTTTACATTTATCTCCATTGAAATTCATTTTATTTGTTTTAGCCCAGTTTTGCAGTCTGTCAAAATCATCCTGTATCCTGACTCTATCTTCTACCGTATTTGCTACCCCTCCCAATTTAGTATCATCTGCAAATTTAATAAGCATTCCCTCTATCCCTTCCTCCAAATCATTGATGTCCCACCAATCTGTGGGCAATCCATTGTTCTTGTGCACTGTGTAGGCGTGTGTGTGGGAAGATAAGCAGTGCCCTTTTGCAGATCTATATATCTTGTGTGGGTGTGTATAAATTGCTGTCAATTCCCAGCTGACTACTGGCGACCCCTGCAAGGGGCTTTCAAGGCAAGTGAGGAGCAGAGGTGGTTTGTCATGGCCTTCCTCTTCAGAGTCTTCTTTGGTGGTCTCTCTTCCAAGTACTGACCCTGCTTAGCTTCTGAGATAGAATCATAGAATCACAGAGTTGGAAGTGGCCAATACAGGCCATCTAGTCCAACCCCCTGCTCAATGCCGGATCAGCCTAGAGTATCCCTGACAAGTGTTTGTCCAGCTGCTGCTTAAAGATTGCCAGTGAGGGGGAGCTCACCACCTCCCTAGGCAGCTGATCCCACTGTGGCACAACTCTTACTGTAAAAAAGTTTTCCCTAATATCCAGCTGGTTCTTTCCTGCCCTTAAACTCATGATTGCGAGTCCTGCCCTCTGCTGCCAACAGGAACAGCCCCCTGCCCTCCTCTAAGTGGCAGCCCTTCAAAGAGTTCAAGAGAGCAATCATGTCCATCTTCAATCTCTTCTCCAGACTAAACTTTCCCAAATCCCCCTGCCTTTCCCCATAGGGCTTGGTCTCCAGGCCCCCGATCATCTTTGTCACTCTCCTCTGCACTCGCTCCATTCTGTCCACATCCTCCAGAACTGCACACAATACTCCAGGTGCATCCTGACCAGTGCAGTGTGCAGTGGACCTATCACATCTTGCGATTCCACATCCAATGAGACAGGGCTATACCAGGCCACCTTCCCCTCCCCTCTATATATCTTAACTCTGGTGAAATCCAGGCTTTTGCAAATACGCTGGCTGCATTCAGGCACACAGGAGTTTGTTCATGGCGGAAACTAAAATGGACTATCTTGGGCTTATACGATCCCTCCTTCCTCCCCCATTCCTCCTGTCTCAGTGCGCAGGTTCTTTTGTTGAACCACTCTTGTTTTGCACTTGTGTTTTCCTCTCCAAAGATCTTGGTGGAGATGAGGGATTAGAATACAGCCTTTGCATTTTGAAGTACAGGTAGCCTTCTAAACAGTTTGATGTAGTGGTTAAGTGCGCGGACTCTAATCTGGGAGAACCGGGTTTGATTCCCCACTCCTCCACTTGCACCTGCTGATGTGACCTAGGGTCAGTCACAAGCTCTGGCACAGCTGTCCTTGAAAAAGAGGAGTTTCTGTCAAGAGTTCTCTCAGCCCCACCCACCTCACAGGGTGTCTGTTGTGGGGA